AGTGTAAACCCATCGGAAATATGCAAAATACAGAAAAGAGTAGAGAAAAAAAGTTACCCGTGGTTCCATCACTCAGAACTATTGCTTATGTTTTAATATATTTCTCTCTCATCTTTTTTCTTTGTGTTTTTAATATGTAATTTCTCTCCGCTACTTACTATAAAATAATGTTCTGTAAGCTCTTCTGAAACATGATCTTAAAATGATAGCTGCATAATACGGTCTCTCATAGATGATACCATACTTTATCATTCATTTCACCAATCTCTTATAAATAATACAAGGATGAGAATTTTTGACATAAATCTGTGGGTATAACATATTTTCTTGATTTTAGTTCTTAGATGTGGGGTTATTTACTCAAATGGAATAAACATGTTTAAGTTTTATAATATATACCACATAAATATATCCCCAAAATATATGTAAATGAGCAAGATTACTGAAGATCAATGAAATACAAATGATAACATTGTCACCCATCATATTGGCAAAGATTTCAAAGACTGATGATACCCAGTGCCAATGACGATGAGGGGACATGTGTCCTTCCGTAGATATGTTGGTAAGAGAGCACATGGGCCACTTAAAAACAAGTGAAAGTGAAGTGAAAAAGTTTAACACAGGCCTGGTCCTTGGCCCAGAATTCCCACTTCTAGAAGTGCACCCGAAGGACACAGTGGGGCAGGTTCCCCCAGATGCGGACGGAGGGGTGCCCCTCTCTGTGTCCCTCGCAGTGACAGCAAACGCTCATCGGCAGTTTCCTGTGTGCCGGGAACTGTGGTAAAAACACTTGCTAACTCACTGGATCCTTAACCAAAACACTCTGATGCCACCAAGTGTTGTGGTCATTCTGATCTTATTGATGGGAAAGCCGAGGTACGGAGAGGTCACAAAGCTAGTAAGTGGCTCTAAGGACCCAAAGGTAGGCAGTCGGACTCAGAGGCCCGCACTCCCAACCTCCATACTGTGTTGTTTCCACAGCCGTGATAGTGAAAGCGCAGGGAAAATCTGTCTGTCAAGGGAACTTATTACATCGATTATGGCGCATCCGTGTCATGGAACATCACCAGCTTCCACGCTGCTGCCGTGGATTGGTTTTCACCGGCGCGAAAGAGAAAAAAGTGAAGCTTTACAGTTATATATCTGCAATTCCGCTTTTGGTCTTTAACATTTATGGAATGTTGAGAAATCATATAAATGTATCTGTACACAGAGAAAAAACTTTGGAAAAAATGAACACTGACCCTTTAGCTGTGATTTGGTTGCTTTCCAGAAAGGAGCATTACAGGTGTCTTTCTTTTCTTCTTCGTTCATTTCTGTATTTGGGAAGTAAAAGGATCCTGTATTACTTTCATAATCTAAGAAAAGCAGTCAGGCTACTTTGAAAGGGTTGCTACGATTGCTCCTTTTATCAGTGACTGCGTGAGTGCTGCTAGTTAGATTCCAAACAGAAAGCGTTGCTGCTTCACACCACGCCCAGATAGAGGGCTCCGGGCCGCAGGCTGGCCCCAGCACAGAGGCTTCCTGCGTCTCTGCCCCGATACAGAGTTTCCGTGACTGCCGCAGAGATGGGCATAGACATCCCCGGGCGCCCAGCCCCCGTGGAGTCTGGCTGGAGTTCCAGATCCTGGCTTCAAGGCATTCCTGCTGGTTGTTCCTTCATGAAACACACCGAGTCTCAACTCGTGGCCTAGCAGTTCTGCCCCCCGGAGCACACAAACTACACGCAACCTCACGCAACCTCAGAAACCACGCCCTACATACCCTCGAGGGAGAGGGGGCGGCGTTTGCGGGTGGGTGCACGCCCTGTCTTCCTCCCTCTCTCTCTGTATTGGCTTTGTTCCATGGAGGTGCTACAGGAATCAGAAATAAAGAGCCTCTAATGAGGAAACAAAAAATCAGTCCAAACACGGTGCACGCAGAACCATGTACTCAGCATCCGAGCTGGCGTCCATTTGGTGACAGTTGTCAGGCAGTCTCTGCTTGGACACGCGGGGGGTGGGACCCACTGATCGCTTCCCAGAGGTAGTGACATTTCATTTGGATTTTGGAAGAGGAGTTGGGGTTTGTCAGGTAGGAAAGCGGGAGAAAGGCGGAGGGAGAGGTGAGTGCAAAGGCAGGAGGCGTGAAGGAGTTGGCAGGCTCCCGGGACACGAAGCCCGGGACAGCTGAGCACAGGTGGGAGTTGGTGGTCACCAGACAGGAGAATGTGTGTGTGTGTGTGTGTGTGTGTGTGTGTGGCCGGGGGGATGAATGAAAGGGTGAAAAGGGTTAAGAAGTAAAAATAGCCAGTAATAAAAACAATCAGGGGGGTGTCTGTCGAGCACAGCACAGGGAATATAGTCAATAATATTGTCATAACTACGTGTGGTGTCGTGTGGGCACTAGATTCATCAGGATGATCATAAGATAGGTAAATGTCTAATCACTTACCTATTAGTTGTACACCTGAAACTAATATAATATGGTATGTCCACTGTAACTGAAAAAAATAAATTTTTAAAAAACATAGATGAGCCCTGCCTGGTGTGGCTCAGTGGATTGAGCATGGGCTGTGAACCAAAGGGTTGCTTGTTTGATTCCCAGTGAGGGCACATGCCTGGGTTGCAGGCCAGATCCCTAGTTGGGGGCCACGTGAGAAGCAACCGCACACTGATGTTTCTCTCCCTCTCTTTCTCCCTCCCTTCCCCTCTCTCTAAAAATAAATAAAATCCTTAAAAAAACATAGATGAGTGTCAAGGGTAATGAGTCCAAAGGCATTAACTTCAACTTGGCAAAAACAAGTTCTTTCAATTATATTAATTTGGAAGTTGTCTGCTTTTATTTTGATAATTTACCAACGCCTTACTCAAAGCAAGAGCTTTTTAATTATCTGACCCGCAAACCCAGCCTTCTTTCCGCGGCACGTTCCTCGTGATGGCGCTGCAGCTGCCACCGCCTCCCACCCTCTGCCCTGGCACTTGGCCTAACACTGTCCACGGGCAGCTTCTGGCAGGTGTCTCTACCAGTCACCAGGAGGCTCCAGGTAGGGGCTGTGGCCAGGTCTGCAGGTGAGGACCCACCAGCTACAGAAGAACTGAGCTTGGCCTGAGCTACAGAATTCCACATGAGCTTTAGGATGGGAGTGGAAGGAAGCAGGTTCTCTCCTGACAGCATTTGTGCAAGAGAAGTGGAAATGTGTAGAGGAAAAAAAAAAACAAAATACTTACCTCATCTAGTAAAGGAAGAATCTGCTTAACAGGCAGAAGAGTCAGTCTCTGGTCAGGTCCCTTTGTTTTCAGGGAGGCAGATGAAGTATGGTTGCGCAAAATATTTGGAATCAGAAGATTCGGAACTGAGATCCAGGCTTAGCTTTGTTGAGTCTCAGTTTTCTAATCTGTAAAATGGGAGGATTACTCTCTCAAGTTTAGAGTGAGGTGAATGGGATAATACGTACAAATAGTCCATGAACTTGCAGTGCCTTATACCTGCTATCAGAAACCTCCAGGTTAAAGCTCAGTGATACTTTGTGGGAATCAAACAGCCTTAGGCAGCCTTTCCTAAAATAGCTCCCTTCTTTTCTTCTTGTGCTTTTTGTGCTTCTTGTGCTTCTTTTCTTCTTGTGCTTCCAATCCCTATTGTGCTTTCTCTTCCCAGCTGGTATCACCGCCTGAAAATAAACTGTTTATTCTCTCTTCCCCTGCTAGACGGCCAGCTTCCTGAGAACACAAGTCTGCTGGTCTTGCTCACCACTGTCTCTCCAAAAGAGAGAGAAAAGGCCCAGAAAAGGCCTGGTGCACAGGCGGTGTCTCATAAATAGTTGTTAAATTTTGATGGAATGCAAGTGAAAGCACACTTGGATAGCTCCAGGAGCCCGACAGCTGGGTCTCAGATTTTGATTTGTTTCAAATGCAGCTTCCCTGCCCCTGCACTGAGGGATTCTGTTTAGCATAACTGCCGGGTCTGCTGCTGAATTCACTATTTTTTTCATTATTTTTATTGTTGATATTATTACGGATGTCCCCATCCTCCACCTGCCTCTGCCCTGCCCCCTGTTTTGCCCGCCTCCACCGGGCACCCCCTTCCTTCCGGCCATCACCACACTGTTGTCTGTGTCTATGGATCTGAACTCACTATTTGTAACAAGTGCCAGATGGTTCTTAGGTAATCACTACAAAAGTTACTTGAATTGGACAAATCTGGTTTTGACTCCAGCCTGCTGCTTACTAGCTGGGCGACTTCAGGAGGTACCATATTTTTAGGACCATAAGACGCACCAGACCATAAGACGCACCTAAGTTTTAGAGGAGGAAAATAGGAAAAAAATTTAAAACAAAAATGTGGTAAAATATTTAATAACCCGTGACCCCGCTCCACCGCTGCCCCCCGACACACAGCGAGCCAGGTAAGCTACATTCAGACTATAAGATGCACCCCCTTTTCCTTCCAAATTTGGGGGGTGCGTCTTATAGTCCAAAAATACGGTAGCTTTTTAACTTCTTGAGCCTGTTTCTTTCCCTGTAAAGTAACCATGACAACGTCCCCACGGAATTGTTATGGTAATTAAATTAGAAAATGGATGTAAAGTTCTCGGCATAATGCCAGTTATGCCCAGTTGGCTGCTGTTGTTGTTTTATTATCATTCTGATGTTATTGCTATGCCCTGGCAGGAGAGCTTCTCCCTGGAGGATCGCTCAGGAATCTCCTCAGAGTGTGGTCCCAAACCGGCGGCAGCAAAGCACCCGGAGCTGGTTAGCAATGCAGCATCTCTGCCCCACCCCAGACCTGCCGAATCAGCACCTGCATTTGACAAGGTTCCCAGGTGATCTGTTTGCATGTTCAAGTTTGAGAAACTGAAGTCACAGGTACTGTGTTCTTCCTGTCTTTCATTTCCGAGTCAGCCCAAGAGTTTCCTGAGCCCAGGCATCGCAGAGGCTGAATCCTTGACCCGAGGACATCAGGAGGAGGGGCCCCAAGTGGTCCCCCGGCCTCTGAACAAGTGACTCTGGAGCCAGGGGATGGATCCTAACTCTGGCTTGCTTCCTTCCCCATCCCGGGTTCGCTCCCAGCCAGCAGAACCCAGCATGGAAGGTAGGAGAAGCCCACTGCCCTGTGAGCAGGGCAGAGACTCCTCCTTTCCCTGGACCCAGGTCCCCAATTCCAGCCTCACTGACCCTGACTGGTTTTGGGATGAGCACATCCAGGCGAAGAGGGCCAGAGTGGAGACCATCGTCCGAGGCATGGGCCTCTCCCCTCACCCTCTGGCGCCCAGCAGTGCCCGAGCCAGGGACAGCCCAAGCTGCCCAGAGAAGGCCCGGGAGCGGAAGAGGAAGCAGAGCCTTCCCGTGCAGCAAACCCCCCCCAAACCTGGCCCTGCCGGGAACCAGGGCAGCAGGACAGGCGGCCCTCGCTTGAGAGAACAGCTTCATCTGCTGCAGCAACAGCTGAGACAACTGCAGGAGCACATCCTGCAGGCTGGGGACTCAGCTGGGGGCCCGAGAGGGGCTGAGAAGCAGAGGGGCCCCCCAAGTGTAAAGCAGAGGAACGGCTATGGCTGTGGGCCCTGGGCCAGGGACTGTGACTGCCACCAGGGCTCCAGGGGGGACCTCCCTGGGGTGGAAAGTCAAAGAGCAGTGGAGGTCGAATTACAGCCTGAGGGGCCCAGGTCCCTTCCATCTGGGATAGGAGCTTTGCTGGAGATTCTGAGAAAAGAGTTGACTGGCGCCGTGTCCCAGGCTGTGGACTCAGTCTTACAAAAGGTGCTACTGGATCCACCCGGCCGCCTGGCTCAGCTGGGCAGAAGCGTCCTGGGGCTGGTGCCGGAGGGTAGAAGGGAGACTTTGCCCGAGGGAGGCACCCGTGAAGACCCACTTCTGCTGGCCGAGGCGCCCAGGCAGGCCCAGGGGCAGGCTGGGGGCCTGTCAGGACACTTACCACTGGCCAAGCCTCTAGACTCTCCTAGACACCCCGTCTCTCCAAGAATGACCTCCAAACCCCACCAGGCCCCCCCAGCGACCTGCCCCCTGATGGTGCCTTCCCACATCCAGGAAAATCAGATTCTTAGCCAGCTACTGGGCCAGGGGTCCAGTGGTCACTGGAGCGGCCGTCTTCCCCAGGATCTGTCTTCCCCGAGTCACTGCTCCAAGGAGCCTGCCCTGCGACCCTGGGGAGCTGTCCGACTGCGACCGTCGGTTGTGAGCCAGCAGCAGCCCCTGGTGCCCTTCACTCCCACCCGCTGGGAGACACTGCCCTTCCTGCCCTCTGTGAAGACAGAGCAGGGTGGCCTGCGGGCCGTCGCGGATGTACTGCCTTTTCCCGCTGTCCACATATCCTTTACGCGCAGTGAAGGTCTCTTTGTCAGAGTCCTGAGCAGCAGCAAATTGGGAGGATGGGGGAGGTGGAAACAAATAACCTGGGTGGGGGCAGGGAATTGCTTTGCTTTCTCCATGGTCTTCGTAATGTTGCCTCTGAGCCCTCCTTCCCAGTGGCTCGTGGTTATTGGGTTCCTGGGAAAGTGGAGACCACAGTCTGGGGTTTAAGGATGCTCGGAAGGAAGGTTCATTTATCTTCCCTGTGACACGTCAGATTCCACCACTACTGACCTACTGCTTTGGGTCTGAAAGTGCTGTTTGTTTTTTAACTCAAATGGGCTTCCAAAATACAAGACATGAGGCAGATCTGAGGGACCAGAAAATTCTGAGACAGATGGGGAAGGAGAGATTTTCTTCAGGGGCTAGACCTGAGGCAGCTGGAAGGGGGTAAGGGGGCTTCAGTTTAAGGAACAGTTTCTAAGTTGCAGCTGAGAGGACCAGAGCCTGTGGGATGGGGGTGAGGGGGTCGGGCATGTGATAGGAGGGGAGACCCCTGGGGGTTAGGCTGAAGGACCCCACTGGTATGTAGGGATCTGGACCTTACTGCATCATCTTTGCCATGTTTAGGCAGACTCCACATTCTTAAATAGTTTCCCAGAGTAAAGCTTCCACGGGATATTAATAGTTGTTGAATTAGGGGGAAAAGTAGCTTCTGTAAATACTGGGTTAGTTCTCTGCTGCGGGACTCCTCAGAGCCTTTAACACGCTGAAGCGCGATGTGAAGCTCCAAGAAGAGACTCTATGCAGTCCCAAACTCGTAGGACTAAAGAACGCTCTTCCAGCAAGCATCCTGGAGGACTGAAGTTCTTGACAACAGATTCTGAACGTTGCTTTTTAAAAGTGAGCTGAGCTCGCACTGCTGGTTCTCATGGGCAGCCTTGAATTGAGTGTCCAGAGGTCCACGTGTCAGTGGTGTGAATAACCGTGCAGCGTAGTAAGGGCGGCAGGATAGAGGTACCAGCTCACTGCCACACTGAGACTGGTTCCTGTGTCCTAAATGGTACGTGCGCCCCCTGCTGGTCATAGGTGTTGGAAACACTGCAAAGCTCAGTGCTGCTGGGAGTTTTCCACGCAAGGCAGTAGCAACAATGAAACAAACCAATGCTAAGAACACTTCACCTGCCACCCCTGCCTGTTCAGGTGGTAGGGAATCTAGGAGGTACAGAGCTATCAGCATAGATAGACTTTCCTGTTAGGCCGTCACCTGTCTGGGTCTTTAATTAGAGAGGCCCCTGGGTAAGGACTCCCTGTCAAAGTCAGGCAGTGGTGGAAGAAACTCAAGAGCTCAGTTCTCAAAAACTCTCTGCTGTCCTTCCCTTGGGAGGCACGTGCTGACTTTTCTCTGTGTGCCCAGCCCTGCCCTGTGAAATGAGGATTGGGCTCAGGGAGCTTCAGGGGGCTTCAGGGTTAATCCACAGGGCCTGGTTGGCTGCCTTTGGAATGATTTGGGGCCTCTGGCAGCCTCCTGACCCCCCAACTAGTCCCTCATTCCTGCTGCCTACAGTCCAGCATTAGAGATGTATTTCTGTGGGCCCTGAAAGCCACCTAAGAGCAAGACACGTTGACGTGTCAGAGAACGTCCACACTCACGTGCCACCCCTGCGAGACAGGTGAAGCGGGTGTGGTCGGAGTGAGTGGTGAGAGTGGTGTTTGCCGTGCACTCTCTCTGTGTGGCATCACCGCTACCAGCATTTCTCATGTGCCTGTGTCCGCCGCCACTGTGCTACCTCCTGAGACCCCAAAAGCTCTGGAAATCCCTATGATTTCTTTGCCTTAAGGCTGGTAGGAGCCTTTTCGGTGGCAAGCCTGGCCTGCACCTGTGAAGGTCATTTAGAGTCTGCCCCATTCAGTGTAAATAGTCACCCATTTTGCTGTGGACATATCAGTGTGCTGTGTGACGGACCGCTGCCACAGCCTCGGCGTGGGGGTGGACTAACGTGTGGCACACACAACATATTGCCTTTATCGAATAGCAGATTCTGAAATCGGAACTCCCTTTGGCCCCGAGTCTCAGACAAGAGGTTGTGGGCCTCAAGCCTCCACCCTAGACCCGCTGTCTGAGAGGCAGGGACAGAAAAGTGAACTAAAGTCACAAGACAGACGTACACAGAGCCAGGATTCAAAACCGGGATCTGACTGCCGAGTACAAGCTTTACCCACTACATCTACATTTAGAAACGGCCCAGAGAGGGTAACTGGCTTGTCCAAGATCACACAGCTGATGGGTGGCAAAACCAGTTTCGGAAACTGGGTGTTTGGACTCCCAAGCCCGGGATTCTTTCACAGCATTTATGGACCTGTAAGAAGTAAGGCGAGTGAGGGGCCAGGGTCTTCTAGGAAGCAGCCCGGGTGCCAGGGCTCTGACTGGAATCAGCTTGTTTCATTTGGCTAAACTGATAAATCCTCCCGAGAAAGCTTAATGGTCCTAACGCTGTGGCTCTCAGGGCCGAGTGCCAAGGTGCCTCTGTGTAAAGCTTCCCACCCATCCCCAGAACTGTCCCCAGCAATGCTGAATGTTCTTTTTAAAACTAGTTATTTCCCTCTCACCCTGGTGCCAGGCAGCCATGTCCCAGCTCCCGACTCTTGTTAAAAGGGAAGGAATCTGTTCCCAGACTAAGGTACACGTTGCAATACAATTTCTCTACTTGTGTATGGATTAAATCATTCACTCATTCCTTTATCTAACAAATGTTTATTGAGCACCTACTGTGTTCCTAGCATGGGGCTAGGTGTGTGGAATACAAAGATAAAGAATAAGGTCCTTGTCCTCGAGGAGTCCACAGTCTAAATGGGGGGACGAACATGCAGTAAAAACCCCAGTAAGGTCATTGCTACCACAGAGGTTTGTACAAAGAGCCGTGGTAGCCCGGGGTCAGGGAGGTCTAATTTGACAAGGGAAGGTTTCATGGAGGAGGTGTGTCTGAACTGACACAGGAGGGGGGAGGGAAAGTTCTTCCAGGGGAACAGCGAGCAGGTGCAGAGCAGCAGCTCAGATTCCTTGAGGCGAAGCAAACCATGACCTGGTGCTGTCTCCTTAGATGCTTGTGTGCTTGAACACTGCAAAGGCAATGACAGGAGCCAGATGGGGACTGCTGAGTGGGCGCATTTTACAGATGAGGAAACTGAGGCAGGAAGGGAAATTAAATCTCTGCTTGGGGTTTTGAAATGTTTTCTTGGGGGTAGAGCTGCCATCTCTCCCCCTCCTATTCTGAAAGCATGTGCAAAGCCCGACCAACTGTGTTTGATGTGACTTGTGCCCTAGAACTTTTGCAGATCAAAATGGTTTTTAAATTCTGCAGCTGTACTGTCCGTATGCGGTATTCAGCATCCAGAAAGAAGAGCTTATTGGATCAGACTTGCTAGAGACACGAAAATGGAGCAAATGGGCCATTTAACCAAAATGAAAGAAAAACCATAAGGAACAGGACGAGTCACGATTAGGGTAATTGGATACTTTTGTTTGATGAACTGGTGTTGATTTTCCTTGACCCTGGGACACCTCCAGGAAGGTCTAAATCCCGGCCACTTGAAGAAGGCCAAGCTAATGTTTTTCTTCACACGCTACCCCAGCTCCAGCCTCCTGAAGGTTTACTTCCCTGACGTGCAGGTACAGTCATCCCACCGAGTGTCACTTGTGCCACACTCCCAAATGGCAATGGGTTTTGCCCAGGGTGAGGCAAGTCCTAGGCCACCCTGTGTGCCCCTTAACTCCCCTTAAGGGGAGTTAAGGAGAATTGGTGTGATTTCCAGTTCTGGGTTGAGACCAGGCCTGAATAATCTTAAATGACTTTGGGCCAGGAAGGTGGGGCATTGAGCTGTAGATAACACACAGGGAGGGGCCAGTGCGGGGAGAGAAACACTAGTGAAGGGCATCTTCGGCCTAGTGTTCTGTCTTTGCTGAAGACACTATGAAAAAGACAATATGTAAAGAGTTGGACACTGTCAAAGTGACATTCAAATAGCTGTGTTTCAAACAGAGTCGGGGTAAGTGCAGGTCAGGTGTGACAATAAGGAAAAGCGAGCTCTGACGTTCGGAACCAGAACTTGCCTGCTCCCGTGAAGTGTAAGGGCTCCTTCAGCACAGGTGAAGTTAGGTGTTGGGTTAGGGCCAGTCCTTTGTACCTTTCCCGTATCATTCCTTTGCATTTCCCATGTCTGTCCTGCATTTTCAGGTTGCTTGATTGATCCCTACGCCAAACTCTGACTTCAATTTATTCTGCAACTCCAAGTTGCTGATAAATAATTATTTGTACCCTCACTCTTTCCCTTGGCCCCTTATCTGGCAGAAGGCTCTGGGGCTGCCATGCAATCGGCCTGAACGCAGCAGAGGCTGAAACCAAACTGGCCTTGACGCTGGAGCCTCTTAAAGTCACACCTAGACCCCGTGATGACCTTTTCATGAGTGAAAAATCCTCATAAATCTAATATGCCAAAAAGCACTCAGTTTCAAATGGGCACTAGAGCTAACTCAGAATGCTCTGTGTATAATGGCATTGGCTTAGAAAGTAGCCCCGGCTTCTTCTTCAAAGGAAGCCCTTCTTAAAGCTGGCGGAGCCGTTCTCAGTAACCTCTGTGCTGCGCCGGAAGTGGACAGCTCCGCCTCCGATCACTGGTGGTACACGGCTGACCTGCGGCGCCCGTTGTTTGCACAGTTCAACCGCTGCATCACCTCCCAGATGATCAAGTGGTTCAGCAACTTCCGTGAGTTCTATTACATCCAGATGGAGAAGTCTGCCCGGCAAGCGATTTCAGACGGCGTCGTTGATCCCGAGGTGCTGGTGGTTCTCCGCGACTCGGAGCTTTTCCGAGCTCTCAATATGCACTACAACAAGGGAAGTGACTTTGAGGTGAGGCCGAGTACTTGGTTGCATGAGGTCGCAGGTTTAGGGAAGATCCCCTTTTGTGTCTGTCCTTACGCCACTGAGAGCCAGGGCAGCCTGGGGCCAATGTCTTAGCATCTACAGAGATCACGATCCCAATATCCTCTCTTAGGCAGGACACAGGTGGATGCTGCAAACAGAACGTACAGCCAGCCTTCAGTCTGAAACTTAAGCAGAGGCCTGCCAGGCATTATGCTGTTTTGATACAGAGCATGGTCCTGATGCTCTGTGATTATCAACTTCTATAACTTGCTGGTCTTTTTGCCTTAGTGCCAGGGGGCCAAGGAGTAAATGCTGGGCCCAGCTGCAGCACCTACTCTTGGTCAAAATTATCTTTTCTTCTTTTTTATAAATTTATTGAATTGAAAAAGAGATCAGTTTGTTGTTCCACTTAGTTATGCATTCATCGTTGACTCTCGCATGTGCCCTGACTGGGAATTGAACCCTCAACCTTGGTGTATCGGGCGAGGCTCCAACTGAGTTACCTGGCCAGGGCAGCCCATGTTTTCTTTCCCGCAATTTCTGTCCATCATTTGGTTCTTCTCTTTATTCTACCTTGACCAATTTTATGTGTGTGCCTTCCATGGTAGTCATCTCAAATCCTGTCTGGAAATAACAAATAAACCATCTTCAAGCTTCTTGGTCCTTTGGAGATCTTTATAAGGCACACTGGTGGCACCCCAGCGATAAAGGCATCAGTAAAGGGCGAGCAGCCGGTCTGCGTATCACTGGTGAGAACTCCTAGTCCACACATGCGTTTCCTCGCGGCAGCTGACAGCTGTCAGCCTGGCACCTGGTTAGGCAGGGGCGAGGCGGGTCTGGTCACCAACCGCACTCGCTCTTTCTGACTTTCTCGCGTGACTGATCACAGCGAGCAGCCGAGTGATGACTCCATGGAAGGGAAGAACTGCTGGTGTGCACTGGTCAAATGCTCCATCAGAATGCCCTACGTCAGCATGTGGAGAACGTGGACTGTATCTCCTGAGGCTTGTGGGTCAGGACGTGTGGGAGGGGCGGCACTGCCCCGTCTTTCCGGGTGGGCGTGGTCATCGGGCGTGTGGGCGTGGTCACTGGGCTTGCTGGCGTGGTGAGCCCGGGCCAGGCTGGACCTGGAGGGCCCGGGGGAGGCCCCCTCGCAAGAGTACAGTGCCAGTCTGAGTGAGGTCCTGGAACATGTTCTTGGGCCACGCCCAACAGCATGGCGGGTTTTGGAAGCAGGAACGATTCCAAGTCCTAAGCCTCGAGCCCCCCAAAGATGGTGGGATGAGGTATGACCCATAAACTTGGGGGCACTCTTTTCTGCATTAGGCACTAAGGAAAAGAATGCTGAAAACCCCTTTGAACTACAGGTTTAACTTCAATCAGAGTCAGACTTTCCCATTTACGAAAAATGTCACCCATGAGTGGAATCAGCTCCTGCTATGAGAGAGTGTCCTTAGTATCCCCCTCCCAGGGCTGTCTCATCGGTACCATCACTTTAAGGTTTGTACTCGATGAGCGAAGCAGGGGTTTCCTAGGGCTGCAAAAGTCAGGGGCCAGCAGGGCAGGGATGCTTTTATCAGCGCCCCCTACCCCCCGAGTGACAGGCAGCATCAGGCAGCAGGTCGGCAGGGCTCCAGGGCTCCACTGCTCACGTCTTTTCCTCCCTGGGGGTCTCTTCGGGAACGCAGGTCCCAGATTGCTTCTTGGACGTCGCCAGCTTGACGTTGCAGGAGTTCTTCAGGGCTGTCTCCGCAGGGAAAGACTCGGACCCCTCCTGGAAGAAACCCATTTATAAAGTTATTTCAAAACTGGACAGTGACCTCCCAGAGACATTCAAATCTTCCAGCTACCCCTAGGAGCTGCGCTGGAATTAGGGTTCCCTCAGAGTGAGGCGCAACTGGCCCGGAGTTCCTGGTTTGTCTTAAATGATGGTCAGGAGAGCTGGGGGTCATATAAAAAGGGCATGAGAGTGAAGCCCCGAGAGGTACTGTTACCATTTCTGGTCATGTATTTCCTTTTCCAGAATCATCATCAGTTTAACCTTAGCTGTAAAATATACCAAGTGTCACGGTGTGTTGCTGGCATACTGCAAAAGGGACACGACAGTTTCTGGAATCAGAAGACCTGACACTCCAGTTCACTGTTGCCAGTGCTGGGACCCTGGGAACTCGTGGGCACGCTCTGTGAAGTGGTCCCGAAGCTCCCTGGGAAACGTTGCTCACTCCACAAAGTGTTTGTTTTCTGCCTCCTGCTTTCAGATAAGGTCAGCTTATTCGTTGTTTGCTTGTTTGTTTTTACAAATTGCTGGTTTTAGTTCCCTATTCATCAAGCTCCACCTATTTGCTAGCCACTTTCAAGTACATTATCTTTAAGTTTTTTACTCTGAAAAGTAGATATTATCTTCATTTAAAAAAAAATAACCAAAGAGAAGTGTTAGAACAGTGACAGAACTTGCCCAAGTATGAGGCTGGGACATTTGAGTCAGTAGGGACAGTGAGGCGTGCGGAGGAACCTGAGAGACCTTCTGCAGATGGGTTGCACCCCGACACCACCTGCTGCTTGTCACAACCTTGAACAGGCCACCATCTCCAGGAAGCCCCCACACTGATGGGGCACTGTGGTTTGACAAGCCCTGCCTTGCTCTTAGGAGTGCTTTGGCAGCCTGGATTTCCACTGATCGTTCCAGCAAGCCCAGCACACACTCCCTGCAGGGCTTGCTGTCGCTGCTCAGGCACATTTGTCTGCTGGAAGAGTTTATTGGCTGGACAGCCCGATTGTTTCTAGTCAATCAGTACAATTGATGCTCTGACCTGCTATGCTCAGGAGAAGCACTGGACTGCGGAACGCGGAAGCTGGAAGGGGCCCAAGGAGACCATGTGGCCCACCCCGCTCCAGTTAGGAAAGGGGAAACTGAGGCGCAGATGGGGACTCGCATGGCCCATGCATGGCCTCACAGATGATAGATGGCCCGCCTGGGACAAATGCAGCATCGCACACAGAAATGGAAATTCCCACACTCCGTCAGGAAATGACAGCCCACGGCTCACTCTTCACAGATAAAGGAATTCATGAAATCAACGTTTTTCCACCTACTGGCCCAATGCAAATTGTGACTCACTCTGAGGATATATCCTCAGATGTCTTGGCAAGACATCTGCCAAGTTGAATAGCTGCATGTGTGAATTTTTTAAAAATATTTTATTTATTTATTTTTAGAGAGAGGGGAAGGGAAGGAGAAAGAGTGAGAGAGAAACATCAATGTGTGGTTGCCTCTCGTGAGTCCCCTGCTGGGAACTGGCCTGCAACCCAGGCATGTGCCCTGACTGGGAATCGAACCGCGATACTCTGGTTCACAGGCCCATGCTCAATCCACTGAGCTACGCCATCCAGGGCACATGTGTGTTTTAACACAGTCAGAATCAAGTCTTGGGAGGCACGGCCAAAGGTGTGCAGGCTGGGGGGGGCGGGGCACAGTTCATATCCGATGACCCACCCACTGCCTTGACCTTTTGGGTGGGCTGGGTCCAGTGAGATAAAATCCCTAAACTCTCACTATAGACGTCTCAACATGAAAAGGTATAACGACAACTTTCTTTTGCATTTTGACTTACATCGGACAGCTTTGAGGACAAGACAAACATGCTCAGCCCAAACCAACCTTCTCGGGGTGTGCTCAGGGCATTGTGAAGCATCCTTCAGCATAACCAATGGTATCCAGGTCTCCTTTGCCCCGATTTCTCCCACAATGTTCGCTTTGCAAAAATGAAGGTCGCTGCCAGATCTAAGTTTGAAAAGCAGGCAGCACTGAGTGAGGGCAGCCAGTTACCCGCGTCTGAAGACGGCCGAAGAGCCCACTCTCCAGAGTGATATTACATAGCTGCTTAAGACTTTTATGGGAAACCGTTCCAAGTTCATGTGATCGTCTGATATGGACCAGCTATTCTCTGTCCCAAACCTGAACTTCATTAGTGTGTGTTGTAAAGACGAAGCCAAGCCCCCTCCAGGGCAGTGAACCTTGTCCCAGGGAATTAGATGAAATGCGCAACCTTGAATTGGAAACATTCGTGTCCTGCAGTCTTTCCAGGAACTGTTTTCTAACCACTGAGCTAAACACAGAAGAATGTATAAATATATATGCTCTGCCAACAGAAGAAATCTATTTTATTATATTTTCCTGTTTCTACCAAGTCTATCTCCTTTTCTGCTGGGAACACACTTGGAGCGTAAGCTGAGCTGGTTATTGTTCAGCCATAACATTGCCAAGGTCTGCTCATTCTTTCCATTAAGGTAAATGTGGACACTATTCTCTCCCGCGTTAGACACATTCAGAGTCTGGTCCAATAGTGCCTAAGTGTCTAGTACTTCAATGGTGGATGGTAGGGCCTGGACTGCATCTCATGGTGATGGCGCTATTGGGGAGTTAATGCCTCATTATTGATTAAAAGCAGGCAGTTCATTGACATCCCACTCAGGAGAAGGTTTATTAGGAACCTTCTTTCAAACAAGGTTTCCAATAGTGCACACAATTCCAAATCAGATTCATATGGTGAAGGGGCCAAAGGTATCTCCTGGGTGTATAAGGCATGCCCAACCGTTTCCTACACATCAGAGAAAGGGCAAAGCAAAATGACAGAAATAACACAGTGCTCTTTAATAAACCCAGTCCTGACCACTGTACACAGGTCCACGGGTCCTTTTTTAAAAATTGTCTTTGTTTTCAATGACAGAATACAGAATCCCCAGAAGTAATTTAAAGTAAGATTTCCGTAACAATTTTACATGTGCATTTAGAAAATACTTCTTAGAAGAATCCTTATAAAACTAGCCAAAGTTTTGGTAACTAGTTTCCTGGATGAAATCCTGTATGTTCTAAATTTTCAGAATCTTTGATTCTAGCTTTTCTCAATAGCTTTGGCCCTTAGTCCTATAAAGCAGAACACTTTGATAATGCATTCATTAAAAGCAAAATATAAAATTTAAAAATCCTTTGACGTTTTTACACAAACTCTATTAGGCATTTGCACAGATCTCACAGAAAGCAAGCTCACTTTTTCGGGACTGAGGAAATGAGACGGTAATGAGACAGAACGGCGGCTGGAAAGAGATGCAGAACACACCAGCTAGGACAGGCCGGCTAGGACAGGCCGAGGTCCCATCTGGCTGATGGGTGTATGCCTGGGGGAAACAAGCTTGTGACGGCATGGCAAATACGATGCTTATTAGAGCCTAAAAATATTCCCGTGCAGATTGAAGTACAGGCAACACACTCCGGAGTGAATGAGCTCTGATGACCCATCAGCGGGGTTGATAATGCAGCTCCGAGGTGGGGTTCCTCCACTGTATGTGTTGAGTGCTCAGCTAAAAAGGTCATTGGTGGAAAGAGCATCTTTTCAGGGGGAGACAATGCCTACAGAGCAAGAAGCAGCTCTTCCAGGCAACATACACCTGAATAGTGTACAACCGGGTGCACAGGAGGTGAATGCTTGTCCACGGCCTAGAGGACGGGAATGCCTGCCGAAGCTGAGGGCAGGGGAGACATCGCGGCAGCAAAGGAACACCTTTCCCAGACCTCACCAGTGCCACGTGTCCACCCACTCCCCGAGAGCCTCCTTCTCCTTTGCCAAGAGCATTCTGGGTTATTTTGCTTCTCACAACCTCACTACGTCACAGACTCTTGTTTTGTCATTTCCAAATTCTCCTGAGAATTTGGAGAATTCTCACCCTCCAATGCCACATCCACTCTTCCCTTAGAAAATCCTTCTTCTCCCCCTTTTTACGGATCTGCAGCTCAGACCCCCATTCCTCTGGCCTGGGAATTTAGCCTCAGGCGAGAACATGTCTGCTCTCACCATTTCTCCCCTTTACCCTCAGCTGTCGGCCCCCCTTGCAACCAGCACCTTTCCTCAGTGGACGACTGTGGTTAGGTGCATGAGCTCTGCAGAGCATGTTTTCATCCTGGTTCAGGCACCTTGGATTTGTCTCCGCAAGGCGCTTACTCTCCTGGCCTCAGCCTTCCCATCTATAAAATGGGGACAACAGCACCTACCTCACAGTACTGTTCAAAGGTTTAGATAAAACAATACAGGTGACGTTCTCAGCACACTCCTAATGCCCAGTGTGTTATGCTCACACTCCTAATGCTCAGTAAATGTTAGCTATATTGATACTCGGCAGTTATGAACTGTCAGCAATGCCATGGATTTGTACTCTTACAGAGAAAAAGAATAATTTATGAGCTTAAGAGCGACACTGATGTGTGACATTGCTAATATAAACCATATTCTGAATTTTGTTTTTATTATAGCCAGGAAGTAATATGCACTAATACCAGTGACATGACAGCGTAAAACTTAGCTTTGAACTGAAGTTACTGTTTTCTGAGAGGTAACACCCAGCTTTAAAAAAATGCCTCTCGCTGTAAACCCCACCTGCCTTCCTCCATCTACTCTTCACCACAACCTTATGTCAACGTGCTTACTTGACACCGGACATCACTATTACTGCTACTTGTTCCCTGCTTCCTAAAACGCTGACCTGCTTTTGTCCAAACGTCTTTGCAGTGGTCCCACTTGTCAGGAGAGGCTGGTCGCCACTGTCATGATCGAGTGGGTGCAGGGGGACACGCTGACGCGACTCTGGTTCTCTTCGTCCAGCGTCGACAACCTATGTTCAGGCTGTATGTCCATAAAGACACAGCTTCTTTTTTAATTCAAAATACTCGGGTCTCTTTTCTGGGCCTTTTCATTTTATAGCTGTTAATGTGTGATTATCTATTCTTTTCACCAGTGTGGGTTGGTGATTACTTTCTTCAGAATATTGAAGGCTTTAAATGTTTTTTTGGCTACTGTTTTTAAATAAACTGACTTTTTCAAATCAGTCTTTATGAGTCAATGGGATGAGCAGTTTGATG